CTCCAGCCACTAGAGAATTGGTCAAACTGGAGACATTTTGAGTTTGAAGAGAAAATAACTTTACTGATAACCTCCAGGTGAGTGACTTGTTACGTCTTCTTGGACTAACGTTCTTGGCTGACATGAAGTGGAAAGACTATATTGAATCCATTGCGAGGTCAACTGCTAAGAAAGTTGATTCCAGGTGTTGTGCAAAACAATTTTTCTCTCCAGAATCTATCTTACATATCTATAAGTCTACCATTCGTCCCTGTTTAGAATATTGCTGCCACTTATGATCTGGTGCTCCTGTTATTTATATAGATCTACTTGATAAAATCCAAAGAAGAATCAGCAATATTATTAGTCCTGATCTGGTGCCTTGGTTTCAGCCACCTACTTAAAGTTGCTTCCCTGTATTTTTTCTATAAATACTTTCATGGTAATTATTTGGATGAGCACTTTGCTTTGGTACCTAGACTATTTGGATTTAAGCACAGTACTAGACTGGTGTCGAGATCTCATCAATTTACAGTTGATTTGGCTAGATATAACTGTAAATTCTATCCTAACAGTTTTTGTTTTCTTGCACTTCTTGCTTGTGGAACTCCCTTCTGGCTCCGTGCTTTATAGCCAACTTTAATCTGCAAAAATCCAAACTATCCTCCTGATTACTTTGCTTTTGTTCTTGCTCCTTAGTAATGTTTCTCTTTCTAATTTTTCTTAATTCTTCTTCACCCAGTAACCCCTTATATCTTAGTGGTCTTACTTGGGGTAAACTCAATTAAAAAAACAAAAAAACACTGAATGATAAACAAATATAATATACATCAGAGAAATGCACAACAATTTATTAAACAAAGTGTGGTTAAAATATTTTAAACAATGACAAGTAAAACAATGAATAATGACAAGATTTCATCTCTAAGTTTCAAGTAGCAGGAAGAGGATCAAAAAACAGATTGGTTTAAATAGAGTGACTGAAACAACAAAGATGAGGATACTCAATTCACTTAATTCATGGAATAATAAGAATTCTGTTCAGAATTGTACACATTACAGATATACTTTATTTTTGTAAGGGTCTTCCGATAATGATTAACCTTTGACCTCTTGCAAAACTTATAAACAGAATACATTAAGAGAGTGTAATGTTTTTTGGAAGAGCAAGAGAATTCAAAAAGATCAACAAAGCCTTAGAAGTTGAACATCAACAAAAATTACCAAAAAGAAAGAGAGAGAGAGAAAACTAATCTTATTAAAAAAATGTATATCTACTTAATCTACTACTTCTGTATAATAAATGGCCATGTGATTCTGAGGAACTTGATAAGCAAGACTTTTGCAGCCTTTCAAAGAGAAAAAAGAAACAACTAAAAACATACAATATATCAATATTTGCAAGAAAAAAATATAAGTTTGAAATAGAAACAATCTGAAACAATACGCAGGTAACAATTTATCACATACCAAATGACAATATGCGTAGAATGTTGAAAACCACGGATAATCCCAAAGTGTGTGCATGCATGAGATATTGGTAGCAAGATGTTAACTGAATCCAGGCAAAAAACAAAATTGTTGAATGCTGAATTTTAAAGCAAGCAGACTAGGAAGATTGTTAATTTTTTTTCTGTCATTATTTTGCTAGATTTTACATATATCAATAAGGGCAAGGTTTGTACAAATATTTACTCTAAAATATATGATCAGTTAGAACAGAGCTCTGTGTATAAGGTAAATTGAGAATTAAAAGAGAAAACAAGAGGATGTGACTAATTGTGTTATAAATTAAAACAGAGTAAATCATTGTGTGTATAAGATAAATTCACATTTAACTGTTTAGCACACAACATGCTCAAACATGCCCCATAAATATCAGCTCTCAAAATCTCACTGTTTGTGTCACTTCCTACATTATTTGTGATTATATCATCATATATTATGGCAGAATATACATGGGGCGAGTTACAGATGACCGAACATAGAGAGCCAATAGTTATTGGGCAGGTTGAATGCTAAAGGATTAAAAGAGAAAACAAAAAAATTTGAGTAATAGTTTTATAAATTAAAACACAGTAAATCATTCTGTATGTAAGTGTTACGAATGCAGATAGCCCAAACATGCATACACACATATAATTAAGTTAATCTCCGCTTGACAACAGAAGAGGTCACGTGGGAGTCTCGAGTCATTTTGGGGAAGCAGGCCAAGAGGTTGACTGAGCAAGTTACCCATAGCAACAGACATCTAGACAGAATCTAGACAGGGGACTGATGTAAGGTCGTGAAGCAGCAGGAACTGGAATTCGCGCCAAAATGCAGGACACGTGGGAATTAGAAAATTACTTGGAAGTCAGTTGCTGTCTTGTCTTTGAAGGAGCAAGACTGGAAATTGAAGCGCTGATAACTTATGAACGGAAAGATGAGACTCATTTTGGTAATGATGGAACTTGTCCGATTCATCATAAGCAACTCCGGATAGGAAATATAAGGATGTATATTTCTGTTCGTTAACTCCAGATTGAAGAAGATAAATCGAGTTATTTATCACAGAAGACGCAAGGAAATTTGTATGCTGAGAATACAGCCTGTGTTTGAAGAAAGAAAAGAGAAATCAAGAGAGAAGAAAGTACATATCTCTGTTGCAGCCGAACCGTGTTTGAAGCTGAACTGTGTAAAGAAGAAGAAAGAAAGGAAAGAGAAAACAAGAGAGAAGAAGAAAGTATATATCTCTGTTGCAGCCGGACCGTGTTTGAAATTGAATTTGTGTAAAGAAAAGAAAAGAAAGAAAAGAGGAAACGTGAGAGAGAAAAGAAAAGACAATGAGTAAGAGAGAGAACTGAATATAAAGATAAGTAACTATATATTTTGGACCCGTGTTAGAAAGATACACATGCATCTATAAATTTTATGTTCTCACAAACACCTTTCCACATGTCAAAATAGTAATATATAAATCCTATCCCATCTCTTTTTTTTTCGTTATGCGTTGATTTCTGCATTCATAGTTATTCATACTTATTTTTTTTTTTTATCCATTTGGGTTCAGTCGAATCCACTTGGATTTGGGAATATTTTGGTATCCCAACATAAGTCTTAAGGTTCTGGTCGTCGGATGCTTTACTCATGCCTATATTTTTCTTTTATTGTAATATCTTGTGTATATGTATATATTAAAATTCTTATATCAAAATTCACTACGCCTTATCGTTCATCCTTGAATTGTGGATCGGCATATGTGTTGAAACTGAAGCGAACCTGGGAAAAGACTACTGTTTGATTATCTCAATCGAACAGTGTTCTTTAAAATATTTTTGTTTACTAATTGTCCATTTGTCATGGTCTGGGAGAGATAGCCTGTATCTCTCCATAGACGTGATAATGTATATCTCCTGGTCGGTGTATGATTGCATTATAAATTATTCGTCAAGTAGGGCATATGACAGTAAGGCAAATTGAGATTTAAAAGAAAAAAAATAGAATGTGAGTAATTGTGTTAAAATTAAGACAGAGTAAATCACTATCTGTCTATATTTCTGAGATGAGGTATTATGTACACTATTTATGAGTGAAATAAAGGGTTCAGTTCGATATTCCAACCACCTGAAGAAGGCTGGAGCATACAATGGCCGAAACATTGTGATAAATATGGCAACAAAGATGAGAATGATAGTCTGAGCAATGTAAATAGAGTAAATCACTGTGTATAAGATAAATTGGGATTTAAAAAAAGAACATGAGTAATTGTCTTATAAATTAAGACAGTGAATCACTGTGTATAAGGTAAATTGAGATTAAAAAAAAACATGAGTAATTGTTTTATAAATTAAGACAGAGTAAATCACTCTGTGCATAAGGTGAATTGAGATATAAAGTAAAAAAAAAAAAAAAGTATGTGAGTAATTGTTTGTATAAATTAAAACCTAATGCAATTTACTCACACAAGGTTCAAAAGAAGAAAACTGCCTGGAAACTGCTTATCATCAATATTCAGTTTAGAATAACATCAACAGAAATGCTTTCCCAATGAAAGCAAAGTAATTTAAGCATAAATAAAATAACAAAAATAATTTCAACTCTGTCAAAGCTCAGCAGATGAAGAAATGCTTCCAAGAATTAAATAAAAAAAAAAAATTAGTTTTCTAATGCTTAAGAGTCATTGCAGCTTTGATTCTAACATTGGTCTCTTGATGCTTGTCAACATGTGATGTCTCAATCTGTACTGATCTGTCAACAAGAAGATTTCAACTGTATTTATCTTGGATATACAAACAAGCAAATGTCAATAAACATCTAATTTGAGATTCTGGCAATGTATAATACTAGAAATATGAAAGGCCAAAATTATTAGACATGTATATCTGTGGTCACTGAAGTAGAAAACTAACAGTTTGACACATGTAGCACCAAGTATAACTTTCCTCTTGCAGTGATGAAGACAAGATTATCCTTTTCTCTCTTTTGACAAGTCTGGTGTAAATAATAACACAGATGACAACATATAGTCAATAAAAGCTCAGTTTAATAAAAAGCAAAAATAAATATATTTTTAATGACAGACTTCTATGTTCATCATGTAACACTCTAGTTTTCAAGTAGAAAGAAAATTAATCCACCTCCCAAGATTTATCTTTACCTCCACTGAGTCGGGTTGTGACACAAGGTCAGTTTTTAACGTGGGGACTAAATTAATCCACCTCCCTATGATGGTAGGATGTGACACAAAGTCCAACAACAAAAGTTGCCCAGTCCCTGTGACCACTGGTATCCACCAACCCTCCCTCTTTAGTTCAAGTGGGAATTTGCTATCATAATTAGAATTCTATCATAGGTTAGAGGGAAAACTGAGATTATACTTTGATCCCAGTCCAAGTGCTGAGAATCTCTTGCAATGTATTTTTCAAATCTGTAGGAAATGGAGCAATATATTAATAATGCTCATAACCTTGTATTAGATTAAACTAAGCTTAGCATATTCATGAGATTTATTTATAGAGTGAAAATAATAAGCATCTTACCTCATGGTCGCTCTCATGAATAGTGTCTTCTTTACTGATGGCTAGAAAAAGAAAAAAAAGAAAAATCAATATAAAATTTTACAAAGTAGTTTATAAACCTTCCACAAGGTTTTTACAATCTTCACAAGATCATGTAAAGTAATTGTCATTTAAAGTTAAAACTAAGAATTGAATAATGACATGTGACAATATTGTATAATTGATAGGAGAAACATAAAAAGAGCCAAGAAAAGTTTTTAAATCCAGATTTGTCTTTAATTTTATATAAAACCTTTGAAAAAAGTAAAAAGCATTAAATATAAACCTCAAATTAATCTGGCTTTAGAAATTTGGTACAATCACTGCTAAAATGTTTCTTTCAATGCAAATGTATATTTCCTATTTTATTTCTGATAAACATTTTTGCTGACTAAATTGTAAGGTGTCAATTTTTCCCAGTATATAACAATTATCAGTGCAGAATGTGAAAGTTTCAGCTTAATCTATTGTCTTAATTTTGCACTGATGCCCTTGGGAAAAAGATGAATTCAGTCAAATAGCATTTAGTCTTGGAGAAGGAAAAGTCAGAGTTCAAAAAGCTGTAGAGATGTAAATGGGAAACCACTCTACTATTTTTCCTAAGAAGTTATAGCAATTCCCAGAAAAAAAAAGAAGGAATGTGTGGAGAGCCATGATCACCTATGTACTGAAGGGATATGGTATAAAGAGAAAATTAATATATGATTCCTCAACACACAAAAATGTTCAAAAAATATTTTCAGGAAATATTTCAATAATTTTTTTATGACATCATTACAGAGAACCTTTTCTACCTGCCATCAGCATGGTGGATGCTAAACTCAAAGTGAGCAACACACTATGTCTTCTTAGCCTTAAGTTTTTCACTGACATGAAATGGAGCAACTTTATCAAATCAATTGTTATGTCAATTGCAAGGAAAGTTGGTTCACTGTGTTGTACTAGAAAACTTTTCTTCTCATAATCTATCTTGCACATTTATAAAGAAGGGTCTGTAATGTAATCGATCATGACCAGGTATCTTGACTTCAATCATTTTCTCACTGACATGACATGACTTCCCTCTGTCTTTCTGCTCAGATAAGATTTTTTCCCCTGGCACTCTGACTAGATGAATTCAAGTGTGCCACTAGATTGGCAACTAGGTCTCACTGTTTTACTACTGAACTAGCTAAATGCAGTCACCACTTCTACTTTAACAGTTTCTTTTCTCACACTTCCCAGCTGTGGAACGTCCTTCTGATTTCTTGCTTCCGTGTTAACTACAATCTTCAAAAATTTAAATGCAATGTTAATTTGCCATCTTCTGTCTTCTTAAACGCTGTTCCTTTTTTTGTTCTTTCCTCAATCTTCCTCATTCTCAGTCTCATTCTTTTTCACTCCCTGTAATCCCTTGTGTTCTATTGGTATTATTGCCTTACTTGGGGTGAAATGATTAAAAAAAAATATATATAGTAAAATTCAAGCACTTAATAAAAATATCTTTGTTACTTTTGATAAGTCACTTTCTAAAACTTGCAAGAATTTCCAAATAGGATTTACAATAAATGACAGTTTTATAAGTTTTCAGATTAAGCCAGTGTTTCTCAATCTTTATTTTACTTCATTGTGCACTTGTGGAATAACTAAAACTCTGGGGTGAACTTTGGAAAAAATTAATCATGAAGTTTGAAAATATGAAATTTTGGTTTAGCATTCCAAAAGATTAGTGGTACATTTTTCATTTAAGGGGATTTATGAAGAATTTGATGTTTTTTTAGAGAGGTCGATAGTGACTGATTTAATTCCCTTAAGGAAGGCAAAAGGGAAAGGATTATCTCCTCCTTTTTAAAGATTAAGGAATTTAACATTAAGTTTAAAATATCAAATGGCAAAGACTTGATTTAGACATGGAAGCCATTATGCTCCCTAGAAATTTCAACTCTCTATTCCTAATGTTAAGTATATGTGTCCTTTTTGCTTCCATTTTCTCTAAAACTTCACATGTTTGCTATTCTCAGAACCCTTCTGTAGAACTACATTTCTGTTGCTTCAAGTCTCTTCTTCATCTGTGATGAGGTTATCCAGCATTCACTGACACATAGGAGGAAAGATATTATGTAACAGTTCAGTACTCTTTCCTTGTTTCTCATGAAATGTTTTATACCAGGTACTTATGGACTGAAATAAAAATGAGGTCAGAGATTGACTGGCATTGTATTATAAAATGATTTTAAATAAATTATGTTTGCTTGCTTGTCAGTACTTTTAAAGTTGAAAAATAAGAAACATTTATCAATCTAATCATTCAGTCAGATTCTGATCTGTATTTGATCCCAATTCACATTATAGAAAACAAGTATTATGCATATAATAGAGTAATTCTTGTCTTAATTCCGGATCACTAATAATCCTTTTCATCCTAATTTTTAATGCATTTCTATTGCAAAATAGTAATGCAATTACATTAAACATAATTGCACAATTCAAAAATACTTGCATTAATTCCTGACCAATGACAATCCTTTTCTTCTTGATCCACAATGCATAATATATAGACTGTATGGTGGAGTGTCTTAAAATAAATTTTATATCAAAATTTGCATTGAATCATTAATTTCCTACCCTGTGCCAGGAAAATGCAGAAATTGACTAAAAAGTAGGAAGTTAAGTATAATATAAAAATCAGCACTGGAATTTTTTTTTTTATCTGAGCTCACATCACAAATCAAACTACATGAGATAAAAGGTAAATATACTACTATCTCAGCCACTGAACAGCCCTTCTATTTATAAATGGTGGTATGTATGAAAGCAACCTTCCATATACCATATATACTTGAATATAATTTTTATGATCAGTTTTTCACACAAAAAATTGTAAGTGGAGAGAGGTGCGCCATACACAGGCAAAAATTTTGGCTGCCGGATGTAGTTTGTTGTCATACTCAGGAAAAGAATAGATAATATACTAATAATTTCTGCAATTACTAACAATGCTAATTTGACCCAAATACAAAAGTAAATAAAAGTCAAGCTGAAGTGCCTTAAAATTTTCTCAGGGTAAACAGGCATGACTTTGTTTCTTCTCTAAAGTGAACAGATAGTATTTCAATGAAGATAGTGCAATGAAAATAATGTTTACTCTTGAGACATGAACAACTGATATATATATATATATATATATATATATATATATATGATGAATTGAGATAAAATGTGGATTGGAATCAAACAGAATGAAAGGATAAATAACAAATAGGAAATGTTTATCAATCTAACATGTTTCACATTTATTAATGCTTCAGAGATTGAAATATAGAGAAAAAATTTCTGGTATTTATATTTTTGCACTGTTTGCTTGATTTTGATTGGTTAAGCAGGTTCCACATGCATTTGACTTGTTAAGCAGCACTAGTATAATTTATGGCATTGCTACACAAAAGTAAGTGAACCCCCAAGATAATATTAAAATAATTGTCTCTTTTTTCCAAATAACCAACAAATCTTAATTAAATAGTTAAATTAAGATTTGTTGATTATCTGGAAAAAAAGAGACAATTATTGTAAATATTATGTTTGAAAGTGGTTGTAGTTCATTTAATAAAGGTTTTTCTTAATGAATATATAGCTTAATTGAGATTTATCATCTGGAAAAAAAAAAGAGACAATTTTTTAAAATATTATCTTAGGAGTTCACTTTTGCACAGCATTGTATATGTGTGCATGTGTACATGTGTACATGTGTTATTTAATCAATTTCTAGTTTCTTAGCTTCTTCTGTGAAGAAACTTCAAGTTGAAGAAATTAAGAAACAAGAAATTGACTAAATAATCCTATCAAGAAAGCTCTGTTTTGTACATTGAACACTTTCCTTTCTTTTATTCTGGTCACACTTTTTGTGCAACATCTTAAAATAACACACACAGAAAATTCATAATTTAGTGAAGAATGTGGAAATTATTTTCTCTTTTTAATACCATTGATAATAGATTACTTTTTTGCCAGAGTTAACCAGTTTTCAAGCCAGATGACTTTCCTGTGTCCAATTGTTTAAAATTTGGATATTGGTGAATTTGGTTTTGATTAGTGCCACTCAATTATGTGCAAAGTGAAAAATATTATGAATAAAATTCATTAAGTTCAAATATTATCTAAAGGTAATTTTTATCATCTTTCATCCCAATCTCATGCTTACAACAATGTACCGACATTAGGAATCAAGCATTTAGAACATTACTAATTTTATAATTTACATTTTAAAAGTTCTTTAAATATTAATAAAAACCCACAACCAAGCTATATAACATATGAAATAATATTGCTGGAAAATAGATTAAATTTAACCTTGAAAGTAGATAAGTATGAAGGTTAAATTTAATCTATTTTCAACATATATACACAAATGTGTGTGTGTGTGTGTGTGTGTGTGTGTGTGTGTGTGTTGGGAGAGAGGGAGGGGGAAACTGATATATATATATATATTTATAAGGGCCACCAAACTTTTCAGGACACAAATATTTATTGGTGATGAGTTTGTATTATCAACTGGAGACAACCTACCAAAAACAAGCCATCTAAAGCAGTTATCAAACAATATTCTTCATAAAAGTTTATGTTTTGTAACAGTATAAATATCAAACATTTCAGATTTCTTATTTTGAGAAGCTCCTTTATTTCATGAAACAAATTAGTAGACTATAAGAAACCTGGTCAAAGATCAAACCTATAAGGTTTTTGATTCTTGATTTCAGTTTGCTTTTAAATTTGAAACTAGGCACAAATGGAGTAGATTTTTCAAACATTAATATTAATCAAGAATATCTTTTTATATATCCAGGCTATATAATTAAAAGTACTTTTTAAAACCATTAAAAAATTGAGTTTCTGAAAATTATAAAATTCATTTTAAAAAAATTTTCATGGTTTTACAATAGTTTAGGAAGAAGAAAAAATTCAACTTTTTAATACTTTAATTTCCTTTGATGGATTGAAAAATGCTATTTTAATCAAAAATTGATTTTTGGTGATTTCCTGTGACCTT